TATCCGCAGGTGCGGGAGCACTCTCGCTGTGGTAGGGTGGTCCTGCTTACCCAGAGGATCCAGCGAGGGACTCCATGGTGATGGCCCTTTTCTGGCTGTGGTAGGGCGGTCCCGCTCACCCGGGGAATCAAGCGAGACACTCCTTGGTGAGAGCCCTCTGATCGCTACGGTTCATTGGTCACGTTTGTCGGACATCGGAATCTGTACACCACCACCAGCCGTGGCTGCGCCAGCTGGCTCCTGGTGGCGCATGGACCGCCTTGGCATCGCTCGGACGTGTGCATTTTCTTTCGGCGAGGACCGTCGAGGAGCATCTCGGATCGTCTTGCGAAGCAAACGCGCACGAAGCCAAATAATATTGCACGGATGAGTGGGCGTCCGAGCGATGGCGAGCCGCCGGACCTGGGCCGAGAGGCTTGGATGATGGGCAGACTTTCAATGCCCACAACCATAGGGCGGAGAGGGAGGAGGAGGAGGAGGAGGAGGAGGAGGAGGAGGAGGAGGAGGAGGAGGAGGAGGAGGAGGAGGAGGAGGAGGAGGAGGAGGAGGAGGAGGAGGAGGAGGAGGAGGAGGAGGGGAGGAGGAGGAGGAGGAGAGGAGGAGGAGGAGGAGGAGGAGGAGGAGGAGGGGGAGGGGAGGGGGAGGAGGCGGAGGAGGAGGAGGAGCGAGGAGCGAGCGGAGCGAGGAGCGAGGAGCGAGGAGCGAGGAGCGAGGAGCGAGGAGCGAGGAGGAGGAGAGGAGAGGAGGAGGAGGAGGAGGAGGAGGAGGAGGAGGAGCGAGGAGCGAGGAGGAGGAGCGAGGAGGAGCGAGGAGGAGCAAGAGGAGGAGGCGGAGGAGGAGGAGGAGGAGGAGGAAGAGCAGGAGCGAGCGAGGAGAAGCCCTCCCCCTCCGAAGCCTCGGCGCCCCGGAGGGGCTCGCGCAGGGTCGGTCCCCATGGCCTCCCTCCCTCGGGTCCTTCCAAGTGTTGCCACGGCCTCGCTCGCTCCTTCTCCTGCTCCTCCACCTCCTCCTCCTCCTCCTCCTCCTGCTCCTCCTCCTCCTCCTCCTCCTGCTCCTGCTCCTGCTCCTGCTCCTCCTCCTCCTCCTGCTCCTGCTCCTGCTCTGCTCCTCCGCCTCCTCCTCCTCCTGCTCCCTCGGGTCCTTCCAAGTGTGGCCACGGCCTCCGCACCGATGCCCTGACGGACACGCGCGGGCTCCCTTCTGGGGCTCGCGCGGCTAACCATGGCGATCGTTCGTTTGTGCTCGTCCTGTTGCTCCGCAGCTCCGAGGAGGGAGAGGTACCCATGCCTCTTTCCTGGTTTTCGGCCTCCTGGGAGGCCCTCGTCGCCACCGCTGGATTCGCCTCGAAATCCTAGTCCGAACGCACCCAAGAAGAGGTCTGGGGAGCAGCGGTATTGGTACCTCTTGATCTCCCCAGGAGTCTCCTCGCCCTCGCTCCCCTCATTCTCCCATGCTCCTCCGCCTCCGCCCCTCACCCCCCGTCCGTGCCCCCGCGTTCGCTTTCGCCTGCCCCGTTGCCTCTTCTCTGCCTCCTCTCCTCCTCTCATTCCTCTCCTTCCTCTCCTTCTCTCCTGCCCTTGCGCTCTTCCCTCTCCTCCCTCTCCTTCTCTCCTTCTCTCCTTCCTCTCCTCCTCTCCTCCTCCTTCCTCCTCTCCTTCCGCTCTTGCCATTGCGGCTCCTCCCCTTGCTCTCCTGCTCTCCCCTCCCACATGCTTCAATGCGCGGCCCCCCGGACGTCCCGGCGAGCTTCCCAGGGCCAGCCTTGCGTCCCGAGTCGGTTTTGATATTGCCCCACAGGGCTCGGCGAGGGCACCCCGGAGGCCGAAAGAATTGCGAAGCACAAGAGCACGTCGTGTTTCTGCCCCTCGACGCGAGCATGTCCGGGCTGCTCTCTCCTCCCCTGCCTCTTCCTTCTCCTGCTACGGGCGCCGCCTCCTGCAGCTTGTTCTTTGGCAGACCTTGGCAAGTCTTTTGCATGGATGAGGGGGGGAGCCTGTACCTGCACGATTTGCACATGCGGAAATCTGTTGTCGAGCCAGGCGTTTTTGTTGCCCGGTTTCGGGCCCTTGGATCCTCAGATCGATCCAGCTCGAAAAATCGTGATTTGTTACTTTTCTGTATTTTGATACGTTGGATCTCGGGGTTCGGCGACGGCGTATCCGTGGTCGGAAACTGGTCTGACCTTGCCGAATGCTTCTGAATCACGCCTGATCCTGCCGAATTCGGCTTCATTTGGCTCAAATCTGGCTCGAAGGCCCCTCATTCGGGCCTGCATGCTTTTCATCGTCCTTGCGAAGACTTCCCAGCAGCTGCCTCCGAACAGGTGCCCTCCAGGAGGTCACGAGAGGCCAGAATTCAGTCGGGCCTGTCTCTCCCCAGGGGGGATATTCAATGATACCGGAGAAAAACCCCAATCAGATTTTTGTTAGGGCTGTTGGGCTATAGGGCTATACGGCTATAGGGCTATAGGATTATAGGGCCATAGGGCTATAGGGCTATGGGGCTATGGGGCTATAGAGCTATATGGGCCATGGGGCTATAGGGCTATAGGGATATTAGGCTATTAGGGCTATAGGGATATAAGGCTATAGGGCTAGAGGGCTATACGGCTATACGGCTATAGGGCTATAGGGCTGTAGGCCAACTGGGCTATTGGGCTATTGGGCACCCCCAGGCACCCGGGCACCCCCGGGCACCCCCGGGCACCCGGGCACCCGGGCACCCGGGCCCGGCCACCGAAATCGGCCACCCGGGCACCCCCGGGCACCCGGGCACCCGGTCCCGGCCACCGAAATCGGCCGCTCACCTCACCTCAGCTTTATATCCGTTAGGACCCCTACAGAAGCAAGCTCTGATTGGGGAAAAATAGTAAAAGAATGGTGTGGGGACGATGTTTGGAGTATTTTTTGATCATGTTTGAATATATTTTGAGTATGTTCTAAGGTTTCGTCGAGAATCCGCCTGTAGGGGGACGGGCCCGACCTCAGGCCAGAAGGACGGAACACGAGGCTGCCTGTCAGCACTTCTGCCCGGGATCATTTCTCGCCCCAGGAGGCCGCGAGACGCCCGCCTCCGCGTCCCCCCGAAGTGCGTAAGCTGTCCACCCACTTGCGCTCATCTTACGTCGGGCCTGTCCCTCTACAGGGGGAAGATTCAAAAATAGTCGAACATAGTCTGGGGACGATTCTTTGATTGTTTTGGAGCATATTTGGATGATTTTTTGAGTATGTTTTATTTTTCGTCCAAAATCGGCCTGTATGGGGACAGGCCCGGCTTAATCCTAGCCAGGCCAATCCTGGGCCTTCGTTGCACACGCCCTTCTAGCCAAGCTCGACAGCACGGTTTCATCGATTACGCACCCAGGATTGGTCTGGCCAGGATGCGTGTGGGTGGATAGTTGGTGCCCCGCTCCGCATGCGGTCGTTTCCCCTCCTGGAGGAAGAAAGGATAGCGGGGGAAGAGGATGGAGCAAGGGAGCGTGTGGTGCAGAGTGGAGCGGGCTATGAAGCAGAGTGGAGCGGGTTGCGGGGATCGGTGGAGATATTCGGGTGGGTAGTGGAGAGGAGATGGTTGAGAGTGGATGGGATGAGTGTGGATTGGATTCGAGTGGGACACACTAGAGGGGTGCGAAGCGGCGTGAATGGGAGAAGGGTCTTGGGATACCCGACCTTTTAGTAGAGAAAGCAGTGATTTGTGCAGCCGTGCTTGCAATCGGGCATCGCTCCCTAGCCCTGTGTCGCGCATGCGCCGCGCAGGGTTGACGGATTACCAAAAGGGTTTGCCACGCCGAGGTCGAACCTCGTGAGGGCCATTTACGGGCAAGCTCTCCTCGAGGACATTGGGACTTTTGGGAAGCAATGCGGGCAGCGGGTTCGTGCGCAAATTACATTCGCCCGGCTGTTCGGGGCAGTCCGAGAGGTCCACTGCCAGCATTTGCAGCTCGCCGAGGGCCTCGATTCAGCCGCGCTGGCACGCACTTTCACTGACTCCCTCGGCTGGCTCGGAGGGACACTCGGCTGGCGATTCCCTCCGTGGGCAACGTGGACCGCGCCGAGCCTCACGTGTGCCGTTCGGAAGAGGACTTGCTGCATCGGATTGTACCTCGAGGGGCCATGTTTTTGCCACCGTCCCCCCGCGCATGCCCTGTGCTGGACCAACTTGTTCTGCTGGAGCGGCGGGCAAAAATCGCGCCCCCAGGGGAAGCCATTTTTGTACACAACCCTCGCTCCACGGTCTTGTGCCAGACCAGCTTGTTTGTGGGGGTGGTGTGCAGTGGAGACGCATGCCAAGAAAGACCCCGCTGGCCTCCAGGGTGCCCTGGGTCTCTTGGGTTTCGATGGCTTTGCTACGAAAAGCGTGACGCCCCCACGCCAAACACTGGTGGACGTCCCGGGGTCGCTCGGGGTTGGGTCTCCTGTGGAAGGTGTTTTGTGGTCGAGCCCCTACAGTGCCGTTTTTAATCGCGTGCGGATCATGTATTGAAGACGCACGGGGTTGAGCATTAAAACAAGGATGAGTTCATGCATAAATGCATTCATAGATTAATCATGTATTAAACATCCCATATGTTCAAACATCCTATGTATGTCATCATGTATTAAAACACTCCGTATTAATCATGTATTTGAAATCCCATATGTTTCAAAAAATCCGATGTATTACAAAAACTGCCCTGTGCAGTGGAGGCCCACGCCGAGAACCACCCCCTGCGGGCCTCCAGGGTGCCCCCCGGGTATACCGTGGGCCTCCCTGGCTCTGCCGCGGAAGACGCGTGCCACGCTCCCGCGCCGACGGATGGCGGACGCCCACGGGGCCGCTCTGGCGTTGGGCCTCTAAAACGACGCGAAGATCGGGACAAAATCGGTTTGTTTGACAACTGTTGCTTTTTTGTTTTTGTTTTCGTATTGTCAGTTTTTCGCCCAAAGTCCGCCTGCCGGAGGACATGCCCGACCTGACCTATTTCTGCTATCTTCCGGCTCAGCAATGCGCACCGGCCGCCAGGCCCGTAGGATCTCGAGGGGTCTCCGATGCTCCTGCCTCCTCGGCGCTGCACGCCGCGGAGGCCGGGCCCACGGTAGTCCGAGTGGCTCCTGTAAAACGACGCGAAGATCGGGACAAAATCGGATCGGGATAACTCGAAATCTCTGAGAATCGGCGGGTTTGGAGGATGTATCGGGCGCCGCGGCCGCTCCAGAGCGTTCCGCAACGCTCTGAGAGCGCTCCGGAACGCTCTGGAGCGATTTATCCCGATCCTAGCCCTGTTTTGGTCTCTCGTCTTGGCATCGCTCGGACGTGTGCATGTTTCCTTCGGCGAGGACCATCGAGGAGCATCCTTGATCATTTGGCGAAAAAACCATAGACACATACACGCACGCACGCACGCACGCACGCACGCACGCACGCGCACGCGCACACACACACACACGAAACCGAAAAAAGCACAGGGAGTGGACGTCCGAGCGACGGCCAGTCGTGGAAGGTCTCTTGTGGTCGAGCTCCTGTTGTAGAGAGCTGGCGCCTCCTCTTAGAGGCCCTCCCTGTCTTCCCGTGTGCGACCTGCCCAGCGGCCGCACCCGCTCCGCTCCCGGATGGTCTTACACTTCCCTCTACAGGAGGAGTATTCAAAAATTGTCAAACATTTGCGTGGTGACGATTTGTGGACTGTTCTTGCCCCTTTTGGGGCATTGTTTAATATTTGCGCTTTGTCGTCCAGCATCTGCCTGTAGGAGGACACGCCCGACCTGACTACAGTCTCGTCCTCCTGGCCCCGGGCTCTGGCCAACGAGCCGCGCGCCTTCCCTCTGGTCTCCGGCGCCTGGCCCCCTCGCCTTCGGCCCCTCGCCTTCGGCCCCCCTGCCTCGGCCCCCCCCGCTTCGGCCCCGCTGCGCCCCTCGCCGTGTGGTCGAGCTCCTGCTGTGCGAGAGTCTCGCGTCCCCAGTGTCGGCCACCGACGCGGCAGAGCGGAGGAGGAGGGGGAGGAGGGGGGGGAGGAGGAGGAGGAGGAGGAGGAGGAGGAGGAGGGAGGAGGAGGAGGAGGAGGAGGAGGAGGAGGAGGAGGAGGAGGAGGAGGAGGAGGAGTGTCCCCAGTGTCGGTCACCGACACGGCCGAGCGGGTTGGCGAAGCCCTCCCGTGGCTGGGTGGGACCCATCGGCGTGCGTTCTCTCTTTGTGCATACATACGCCGTTGTCGCGCCCCCCTCGGCGCCAGATCTGACCACTTCGGAGGTCCTGGGCACCGGACTGGCGTGAGGAGAAGAGGAGGACCGCGGAGGAGGAGGAGGAGAAGGAGGAGCAGGAGGAGGAGGAGGAGGACAGCGGAGGACGAGGAGGAGGAGGAGGAGGAGAACGAGAACGAGAACGATGAGAACGAGAACGATGAAAGAGAGGATGAGGTGGCAGCCCGCGGCAGCTTCTGTGCCCCAGGCCTGGGAATGGGGGTCCAGGCAGAGCAGGGTAGTGGCGACAAGTTGGCTGGCACTCAGATACCAGACGGACCCGTGCGAAAGTGGTTGCGCCCCTTCCGCCGTTCGTGGCAACACATGGCTGCACATGGCCTCGGAATGTGCAGAAACAATGATGCAGACGGCTGACAGGCGTTCGGATGTTGGTCGAAGACCTCGGCGGCTCATCTGCGACAGTAGTCGCATCAGGATTTGTCTCGATTGGCATATAATGCGTTGTCCGGCACTGCACGTGCGTTGCAGTTGGAATGCGCGCGGACGGCGCATTGCAACTGTACTGCAGGTGGGCGATTGTATTACACATGTATTGCGCTAGAGAATGGTGTTGCAATGTATTTCGCCATCCGTGCTGCACGCGAACATAAAGTAGTACATTTGCGCCTCGGAACATACTGCACGCCTCAACTCCACTGCAGCCCCCCCAGTGCAATGCAATGTATTGCAATCTGCATTGCTGCGCTGGCCGATTGCGGCGCGACCGACCAGATCCGAACTGATCGCCTAGAAAGCCTGCGAGCAGAGGACGTGGGGTATCCAAGAGCGTTGCCCTATTCCGATGGCGGAGTCGGGGACCCCCACGCAACGAACTGGCCGGGATATTCCAGGATTGAGCCAGCCACGCGGTGCCAGGAGCACGGCCCACGTCGTTGAGGCGGGAGCTTGCCACGCAACCCTCGTGCCGGTCGAGCCAGATTTTGGTCGATCGCTCTGGAGCGCCTTGTTCGCCGCGACAGCAGTTCCACAGTTTGACCACGTCGCCACGCTGTGGGAGAGGGTGGCGTCGGCTGCACGCGCGCTCGCCTTCTGTAGGCCGGGGGTGCTCACGCCGCAACGCCGCGCCGAAGGGTTGGCCTGGGCAGGGGGGTGTGGGAGCGGCGGGGGTGCGCCTCAGGAGCGCATGAGAACGCTGGACCTCGCCCTGCGCAACATCCAGCAGCGGCGCAAAGCGGGCGTCGTCAACGGCATCATGGGCGAGGGCGACGGGGAGGAGGCCGAAGTCGTCAAGTACCCCGAGCGCGACCACGTCTATGCGATCTGATGCGAGGGGGCTCCGCGCGCCCACTCCCACCGGGCAAAGCTTCCTTTGTGTATGCACTGGCTTCGGGCGCTGCCGCTGCGCTCGGCCACCAGCCTCAACAGATTCTCTGCTGGTCGTTGGCTCGCGCAGCTTTTCCACGCCCAGTCGGGGCGTCAAGTCCACCCCTTTCCATTGCCATTCTGGACCGCGTGCTGGAGTTCAGCGCTTGTAGAGCAGCGTACGACGTGCGACCTGACCTTCTCCCTGTCCACTCCGTCCATGGTTCCCTACTCCCCGAGGACCCTGGAATAGTACTCTGTGGTCCTCTTTCTCCCCCTCATCCACCTCTTTCCTCATCCTTCGTTCTCCTGATCCTCATCCTTCCTCCTCGGTGCCCATCAGCCTCTTTCAATATATTTGGGTCATGAGGATGCTTGACTGTGTTGGGTAAACGGGGAGCTTCGACAGTGGCATACCGCGGGAAGCGAAAAGGGGAGGAGAGGGAGAAGGGAGGAAGGGCGGGAGGGATTGACAACGATGGGCGACGTCGGGACGGAGGGAGGATACAGGAGGGAAGGGACGGGGGGAAAGAGGAAAGCCAATGCAGAAAAACAAAGAGGTGAGATGAGATGAGACAGAGCCCTGAGGGAGGTGCGTGGAGGCCCGGTCCAGGCCTCCCTCGGATGCCTCGGAGAAAGCCGAGGCGTCGGCCGATTCGCCCGCAGCGTCCTTGGAGCAGAGGCGCCACCCCAGCGCTTGCACCGAAGGGAGGTCGGCCTCCGTGAGGCCAAGAGCCCGTGCAATGGAGGGCCACGCCAAGAAGCACCCTGCTGGCCTCCAGGGTGCCCTGGGTTTCTCGGGTATCGGTGCTGTTGCTGTCGAGAGCGTGACGCTCCCACACCAGCCATCAGTGGACGTCCTGGGGTCGCTCAGTGTTGGGTCTCTTGTGGAAGGTCTCTACCGCCAGCTGCCACCATCCAGGCCTCCACCTCCAGCTTTCGACTTCCGGCCTCGAGGGCATGACCTCCAGCTTCACGGGCGACATCTGATCAGGCCTCGCTTTCGGACGCTCCGGCGCTCCGGCGCCGCACCCGCAGCAACCTACAGTGCCGTTTTTAATACATGCTCCGCGTGCGGATCATGTATGACAAATGCAGGGATTTAGTATTAAAACCAACGATGAGTTCATGCATGAAGTCATTCATAAATTACTCATGTATTTAAACTTCGATACTTTTTGAAATCCTATGTGTTGAAAGCTGCCCCGTAGACGGTGCTCATGTGCGGGCGATCTTCGTGCTTCGTGCTTCGTGGAAGGTCTCTTGTGAGCAGGGCCCCTGCTGCAGGACGCACGCCCTCGGCCAGGGCTTCGGGGGCAGGCCCCACAGCACGCGCACACGGGACGGGGCCTCCAGGAGGCCGCCACAGGGCCCCCCAGATCTCGACGAGGCGAGGGGGGCCATGATGGTTTTCGCCACATCACCGCTTCAACCAGAATCGCCGTCGTCATCATCATCAACATCATCACCACTAGCATCATCAGCAGCATCATCACCATCACCACCACCACCATCATCGGGGGCCTCCGACGGGTCCGACGGGTCGCCCTGGGCAAGCACGCCGTGAGGAAAAGTGTGCGCCGGACGCGCACGGATGTCCGTTGGCACGCCGACCGGCCAGCCCAACACCAAGTCCTTCACACTCGCCGCGCAAGACGGCCACAGCCTTGCCCTGGGTCGGCGGGTCTGGCCCTTGCACACGTAGGGAGCCCGCACAGTCCCCCGAAGGCAGGGCCCCAGCAGGGTCCTCGCAGGCCTGAGGCCCGTGAGATGGGCCCCGCAGGCGCCACAAAAGCACAGTTGAAGCTCGGTGGTCTCCGCGCCCATTGCGCGTGGGCAGGAGGAAGCCGAGGAAGAAGAGCGGCGGGAGAAGGGAGCGTGTAGGGAAAAAGGGGGTATCATGAATAAGGAAGGGCCGAGGAGGAGAAGAACAGAGGGAGGGGGTGGGAGAGGGGCCAGGAGCAGGAGTCGGAGGGGGGGAGGGGCGGGAGGATGCCACGAGTACGGGATCGTGGCTTGGGAAGTGCAGGAGATACGAAGCGTGTCTCGTTGGGAGCTCACGCCAGCCAGTGCGCGTATCGGTCGCCGCAGATAGCCGCTCGCTGGTGCAGCAATTCTGCCGTGCCGCCGACGCAAAAAGTCTCGATGGGAGTTTCTTCATGTGATCTCCATTCTGCGATCTTCCGGCTCGTTTCCCCCCAACCGGCAAGATGGGCTTGGGCCCGCCCGCCAGCCACGCATACCGTTAAGTCGGGCCTGTCCCCTACAGGAAAATTGAATAATAGTAATAAAAGATAATGTGGGAACCATTGTTGGAATGGTTGTTTGACAACTTTTGTTTATTGTTTTCGTAATGTCAGTTTTTAGCCCCAAATCCGCCTGTAGGAGGACATGCCTGGCCTATTTCTGCTATCTTTCGGGGGAGCGTAAGACCCGGGTTTGCCAGGACTCGGGTTCGCCATCGTTTTTTGACGACCGCGCCTCGGATTTTGACGAGGAGGAGTTTCGTGGGATGTCTGCAGCGGGAGGCCTCTTCAAAATGCAGGCTCGGCCTCGTCATTTTTGTTGACGACCTCGTCGGAGATTTCCGAGTCCCCTGTACCCGGGTCTCACGCCCCCCTGAATCTTCCGGCTCGCTTCCCCCCAACCGGCACGATGGGTTTGGCCCTGGGCCCGCCCGCCAGCCATGCGCACCGCGGCCGCCGGGCCCGTGTGATCTCGAGGGGTCCCCGCTGCTCCGGCCCAAATCCGAGGCCCGAAAACCATCACTTCACTAATTTTGGGCCCCAGGGCCCACTGAGGCCCCAGGGGCCCCAGATTAGTGAAGTGATGTTTTTTTTCCCACGTAAGGACCCCGAAATTCATCACTTCACTAAACCGAACCCAGGACGAAAGTCAGGGGCCGAATTGCTGCTGTGATGCCACATCGGCCTCGTACCAAAGGAGTCCGAGTGGCTCCTGAGGATCCCGCCATGGTCGCGTAGAGTCAGGAGGGGAAAGAACATACAGACACAATGAATCGTCGATCCCCCCAAAATATGGGGAAATATGGGAATTGGGCGGGAAGACAAAAACCCAGAAAATATTCGAAAATATGGGGAATCATTTTACTGGAGTGTATTTAGTTGTGTGTCCTTGGGCCCCTTGAGATAGTCAGGACCCCAGGTAAGGGGACCTTGTTAGTCGTAGGGCCTCGGAGCCTTAAATTGGCCAGAATCACTAAGCCAGGTCTGCCGTAGCTGGTGTTTCTCGGCTGGCGGCCATTCCGGTGAGTGGAAAGGGGGCGGGGGGGGCGTTTCCCATATGCACATCACTGAACCAGGTCCCACTAAACCCAGTTCTGCCAACGCCCGATCCTCAGCGCTGAATGCCGCGGAGGTCGGGCCCAAGGGAGTCCGAGAGGCTCCTGAGGATCCCGCCATGAGCATCCCGCCTCGAAGTGGCATCAATGACAGGACAGACGTGGGTCACACAATTAATAGAACACACACGCAAGTAGCACCCACCAAGAGCCGACACTGTGAACACGCATCAGGAGCATGTACCATTCATCCACACCAGTAGCGTAATCAAACCGCCAGCACATAACAAGAACCTACGTCGATAGTAGTCCATCACGAACGCCCGCGACAGGCATCGAGAGCGTGCACCAAGCGTATACACCAGTCGCACATTCCAATAACCGTCACCAAGATTTGGCACCCCAGACATACAGCAGTAATGGACACCAGCGCACTACACACAGAACATACACACCGAACATACAACAGCGGCACACACACACACCAAGGATTGACAATAGTATCATCATGGCAGGCGTCAATGTGTCACGCTGTCGACAGCCATTCAGGGCATACATCCACCACGGACACCCATAACGTGTGCTATCAGCAGGCACCAATAACGTACATCACCGATGTGCACGAATCAGATACATCAATATACATATTATCGAACAGCCGCGTCATGCATCTTAACAGATGTCACGACCTACACCCACAACCGACAGCAAGTTCTGGCAGGACTTCTTTACGACAGGTGTACACCACGAAGAATACATACCAGGCGCCCTGGGCAGAATCAGTAGCACAAACCAAGAGCTTCTGACACAAATACGCACCAAACCGCATGCATGCACACCTGGCGCCAGTACTACACACACGCAGCAGCACTATACCATGAGCGCTGAGTAATATCATGCAGCAGTAACACGCAAGTAACACACAGCCGTAATCCACACCAGTACCACACATGAGCGCCAACACTATACAGCAGTAAGACAGCACGAATTCACCCACCTAACATGCCTCAGCAACACATGCCAGCAACATGCGTCGATAGCATATATCGGGACCATACTCCAAGGATGAGCACCAAACACAGACACCAAGAGCTGACTTGCACGTACAACCAGCACTATTTTACATCACAAGGGGGCAACAAGTACAGTCGCGAAGAACGGCCACCAACAACATACACCGCGAACATGCATCACAACACAACATGACATGCGTCATTGCGCCACGCCGTCGATGGGTATCTAGAACATGCACCAGCAATTGATACCGCGAACAGGGTCCAACACCATACACCGCGCCCGTAACCGACGCCACATCACCAAGGACCGATCTCGAGCATATACACTACAGCATGCGCCAATCCCATACACCCCTAACCGCCATGCGCAACCAACCAGCGTACACCAATCTCATACACCAATGGCATGAACGAGTTGCAGCCGCCAAGAACGGACACGGACAACAGATGTCACGAATAGGCACCATTGGTATACACCATGTACACATTGACAGGCGTCACGGCGACACGTCGTCACGCCGTCGACATACATGTAGAGCAGACGCCAACCACAGACGCCAAGAACATGCACCATTTTTTGACACCAAAAGCAATCACCAATGACAGGCATCGTTGCCATGCTTTGATCCTGTGTGCAGTTGTGCA